AACTGTTAAAGGGAGTTTCTCAAGTTGAAATGAAAGAATACTAACTAGTAACGTAAAAATCTATGAAAGTATAACATTCACTGATAAAGGTAAACATGTAATTAAATTCAGAATACCCTAATATTGTAATGATAGTGGGAAATCACTTATAACTCTAATGTAGAGGTTAAAAGACAAAGGTGTTAAAAATAGCTATAACTACAATAATTTGTTAATGAATACACAATATAAAAAGGTATAAATTGTGATCAGAAATTAGAAACATAAATTGTGGGAAGGGAGTGTAAAAAGGTAGTTTCTATATACATTAGAGTTAGGATGTTATCTGCCTAAAATACACTATTATAAGATTTTTGCAAGCCTCGTGGTACCCACAAAGCAAAAACCTATAGAAGTATGCAAAAGACAGAGAAATCAAAACATAACACTATGGGAAATCATCAATGCACAAAAAAAGAGAGCAGGAGAGGAAGAAAGGAACTATAAAACTGCCAGAAAACAGGATAGCAATAGTAAGCTTGTACATATCAATTCATACTTCAAATTTAATAGACTAAAATCTCTAATCAAAAAACATAGAGTGGTTGAATGAATACAAAAATAAGACCTAATTATATGCTGCCTACAAGAGAATAACTTCAGATTTAAGTATACACAGACTGAAAATGAAGGGATGGAGAAGATGTTCCATGCCAATGGAAACCAGAAGAAAGCAGGGGTAGGTATGTTTATATCAGAAAAAATAGACTGTAACTTAAAAACTGTAATAAGAGACAAAGAAGGTCAGTATATGATGACAAAGGGGTCAATTCATCAAGAGTATATAACACTTGTAAATATGCACCCAACATAGGAGCAGCTAAATTTATAAAGCAGGTATTAACAGATTTGAAGAAAGAAATACACATAAATACAATATTAGGGGACTTTAATACCCCACTTTCAATAATGGATAGATCAGTCAGACAGAAAATCAATAAAGATTGGACTTAAACTATGCTTTAGACCATATGGACCTAAACATTCTATCCAACAGCAGCAAAAAATACATTCTTCTCAAGCACAAATGGAACATTCTCCCAGAAAAATCATATATTAGGCCATAAAACCAGTCTCAGCAAATTTTAAAAGACTGAAATCGTTCCAAGTAACTTTTCTGACTACAATGGCATAAAACTAGAAATAAATGACAAAAAGAAAACTGGAATACTCATAAATATGTGGTAATTTAACAACACGCTCCTGAACAACCAATGGGTCAAAGAAATGAAAAGAGAAATTAAAAAATCTTGAGACAAATGAAAATGGAAATACAACATACTAAAACTTATGGGATGCAGCAAACAATAGAAAAAAATCAATGCAACTAAGAGCTGGTTTTAGGAAGATATACAAAACTGATAAACCTTTAAACTAGACTAAGAAAAAAAGAAAAAAGACTCAATTAATAAAATCAGATTTGAAAGAGGAGACTTGACAGCTTATGACAGAGAAATCCAAAGGATCATAAGAAACTACTATGAACAATTATACATCAATAAATTGGATAATGTAGAAGAAACGTATAAATTCCTAGAAACATAAAACCTATCAAGACGGAATTCTGAAAAAATAGAAAATATGAACAGACCAATAACTAGTAGGGAGATTGAATCAGTAATCAAAAAGCTCCCAAAAAAAGTCCAGAATCAGATGGCTTCACTGGTGAATTCTACCAAATATCGAAGTGCTAATACCCGTCCTTCTCAAACTCATCCAAAAAACTGAATAGGAGGGAACATGTCTGAACTCACTTTAGGAGGCCAGTATTTCCCTGATACCAAAGCCAGTGAAGGACAGTACAGGGAAAGAAACTGCAGGCCAATATCCCTGATGAACATAGATGCAAAAACTCTCAACAATATATTAGCAAACTGAATTCAACATTACATTAAAAGGACCATACACCATGATCAAGTGGGATTTACTCCAGGGATGCAAGAATGGTTCAACATACACGAATCAACCAATGTGATACAATACATTAACAAAATGAAGGATAAAAATCATATGATCATCTCAGTAGGTGCAGACAAAACATCTGACAAAATTCAACATCCTTCATGATTAAAAAATCTCAAAAAATTCAGTATAAAAGGAACATACTTCGATATAGTAAATACCATATATAACAAGCCCAGAGCTAACACCATATCTAAGATCAAGAACAAGACAAAGATGCCTGCTTTTGCTACCTTTATTCAACATAGTATTGTAAGTATGATCTAGAGCAATTAAGAAATGAAAAGAAATAAAAGGCATCCAAATTGGAAAGGAAAAAGTAAAACTGTCTCTAACTGCAGATGACATGATATATATGGAAAACCCTAAAGACTCTACCACAAAACTATTAGAATTAATAAACAAATTCAGTAAAGTTGCAGAAGGCAAAATCAACATAAAAAATCAGTTTTTATATATGAACAATGAACTATCTGAAGAAGAAATAAAATAATCCCATTTACAATGGTATCATAAAAAAATAAAATACTTAGAGATAAATGTGTCCAAGGAAGTGAAAGGTCTATACACTAAAAACTGCAAGATATTGATGAAAGAAATTGAAGAAGACACAAATAAATGGAAAGATATACCATGTTCATGGATGAGAGGAGTTAATATTATTAAAATGTTCATATTACCCAAAGCAACCTATAGATTCAATTCAATTCCTATCAAAAGGCATTTTTTACAAAAATAGAAAAAAAATTCTAAAACTCATATGAAACCACAAAGACCTCAAGCAGATGAAGGGATCTTGAGAAAGAACAATAATGCTAGAGTCATTACACTTCTTGATTTCAAATATAGTACAAGTAGTCAATGCACTATGGTATTGGCATAACAGACACACAGATTAATGGAACAGAAGAAAGGGCCCAAAATAAACTCATGCACATTGGTAAATTAATTTCCAACAAAGGATTCAGGAATATACAATGGGGAAAGAATAGTCTCTTCAATAAATGGTGTTGGTAAAACTGAAAAGCTATACACAAAAGAATAAAACTGGACTCCTATATTACATCATACACAAAAATCAATTTAAAATTGATTAAAAACTTAAACATAAGATTTGAAACCATAAAACTCTTAGAAGAAAACATAGGGGATAATCTCCTTGACATTAGCCTTGGCAATGTTTTTTTTGGATCTGACACCAAAAGTAAAGGCAACAAAAGCAAGCAAACAAACAAAGTGGGACTACATCAAGCTTAAAAACTTCTGCACAGCAAAGGTGAGTAAAATGAAAAGGTAACCTATGGAATGGGAGAAAATATCTGCAAACCATATATCCAATAAGAGGTTAATATCTAAAATATAAAGAACTCATACAATTCAATAGCAAAAAACCAAAAAGGCAAAACCCCAAATAAACCAATTAAAAATGAGCAAAAGGCCCAATTAGATGTTTTTTCAAAGAAGACATATAAATGGCCAACATGTACATGGAAAGATGATCAATATAAGTAATCACCAGGAAAATGCAAATCAAAACCATAATGAGATATTACCTCATGTATTATCAAAAAGAAAAGAGATAAATGCTGGTAAGGATGTGGAGAACAGGGAAACTTTGAGCAATGTTGTTGGAAAGGTAAGATGTACAGCCACTATGGAAAACAGTAGGAGATTCCTCAAGAAACTAAAACCACTTGTTTTATGATGTATGATCCAGCAATCTTTTTTTTTTTTTAAGATTTTATTTATTTATTTGAGAGAGCGAGAATGAGAGAGAGTACATGAGAGGGGGGAGGGTCAGAGGGAGAAGCAGGCTCCTCGCTGAGCAGGGAGCCCGATGCGGGACTCGATCCCGGGACTCCAGGATCATGACCTGAGCCAAAGGCAGTCACTCAACCAACTGAGCCACCCAGGCGCCCTGATCCAGCAATCTTACTTCTGGGTATATAATCTGGGAAACAAAATCACTACCTTGAACAGATATCTGTACTCCAATGTTTACTGCAGAATTATTTACAATAGTCAAGGTACAGAAACAAACTAAATGTCCACCAACAGGTAAATGGATAAAGAAAATGTGGTGTATATATGTGTTTATATATACATACAATAGAATATTATTCAATCTTTTAAAAAGAAGAAAATCTTGTCATTTTTGATAACATGGATAAACATGGAGGGCATTACGTTAAGTGAAATAAGCCAGACAGAGAAAAATATATTGCATGGTATCACTTATTGACCACTCCCCTGCTGAAAAAAGTAGTTGAACTTGTAGAGACAGAGTAGAATAGTGGTTGTCAGGGGCTGGAGGGGTGGGAGTAATAAGGAGAGGTTGATAAAAGGTTTTAAACTTTCAGTTACAAGCTGAACAAGGTTTGAGGATCTAATGTATAACATGATGCCTATAGTTATAATTAAAATTTGCTAAGAAAGTAGAATTTAAGTGTTTTCACCAAACAAATAAACAAATGAACAAATGAACAAAAAGTATGTGAGGTGATGAATGTGTTAATTTCATGGAAGGAATCATTTCACAATGTATAATATATCAAATCATCACATTGTACACTTTAAATGTATTACAATTTTGTCAACTGTATTTCAATAAAGATAAAAAAAAATTTTTTTAATTTTATTTTCCCCCTTGTGCTAACACAGTCCTATGGAAAATCTCAAGAGAAATTTTGAGTAATCTGTTTTTCAGTGTTTCATTGCTTATTAGTTGGGTCAATATACAAAGCATTTCTCCTCCCAAGAGTTATTTACTGAGCTCACAGATAACCTGATTGAGGGAAGTGCTATGTGGATTAACTGGACAACAGTTATACCATATAAGAGGAGTACATGTAAACTTCTCCTAAAAGCTTACCTTCTTTCTTAAAATTAGAAGAGCAACATTGTGCTTTCTGATTACATGGGATTAAAAAAAATTAAATATATGCATGCATACATTCCTAGTCCTTTAGCCCTACTCTTGTGTACTTTTAATTTTTTACCTCATTTCCTAGGAGGGCATTTACGCAGGCTTCTGATGCATCACAGATGGCTGTGAGATCATGTCCTCCTTCTAGAGCCAACACCACGTGTCCATCAGCCAATGTCATCAACTGCTTCGTCAAATGACCAAAGCCTATCATAACACAAACAGAACATTTCAAAGTATTAATCAGAAGAGAATATTACTAGAATTTAATATTGATTGAGCTTTTATTATGTGTGTGTCCTTTCTCAGTGCCTTCCATGAGCTAATTCATTTAATACTTACAAAAACTTAATAAATTAGGTGCCATTACTATCTATATTTTACAAATGTGGGAACCAAAATCCAAGATCCCACAGCTAAGAAGTATCACAACAAAAATTTATACCAAACAATATGGCTCCTCCCCAGTGCACAGTAGTGGCTTTCACAACACATTCTATATGTACCTGGATGAAAACTTGATAGCATTTGACAAGTGTTAATAAGGTCAATAATCTCCTTTGCTTGATTTTTGTTTCTTATCTCCATCATTTGTCTTATTATAAAAGGAAGTTTTTCGGTTTTTTTTATGTATCACCTCAAATTACTTAACTATCACATTAGGTTTTTATAGACATCACATTAGATTTTTATAGACATAATTTTGATTATGAAATAGTTAATATAAAAAATAAATAACATCTATATATATTATAAAGTATAATGATATGAGAAACATCTGTTCACTCACTTTCCAATTTAAGGAAAATAATGTTAGCAATACTTTTGAAGCCCCTTGTGTACTTCTGTTAACATCCCTCCTCCTCTCTGTGGGAAATTAGGATCTTTGTGTTGATAATTCCTTTGCATTTTTTTTTTAACTTTATAAAAATGTTTTTTTATTTTCACAACTTGCTCTTTTCATTCAATATCTTGTTAGCTCATCTCTGTTGATAAATGTAGCTATAGTTATTTGTTGTGTAGTAGGCCATAGTATGAGTATAAAAGAATTTATTTACCCAATCTCCTGATGACAGATTTTTGCATTTTTTGTTATTACAAAACCCCAATGTTTTGTTATTACAAACAATGCCCACAGAACATTTTTATAACACTCTTGTGGTTCACATGTGCAACAATGGACTAAAATCATTGTGACTTAAAATCTGCTAAATAATACTAGATTATTTGTAACAGGCTATAATAATCAACCTCACTCTGAGAAGCAGTGTATATAAGAATTCCAGTTTAGTCACATCCTTGCCAACGTTTGGTATAATTTGTCAAGTGAGTGAATAATGGCATCTTATTGTGCTTTCATTCAGTTTTAGGACGGACCTTACTATTTCTACTTTGAATTAAAGTTTTTATTATAAATAGATAAATTTGTTTATACCAAAATGAGATGTTTTTTCTCCTATAATTTCATAGTTGTTGTGAGTCACATTAATTAGTATTTCTAATATTAAGTCATCATTAAATTTAAGGAGTAAAATAAGCTTGGTTGTGATGTAATTATCTATTTTGTACACAGCTGGAAGTGTTTTACTATGGTTTGTTTAGGATTTTTTCACCTATGTTCATGAATGGGGTTAATCTATAATTTTTCAGTCCTATATTGGCCATGTTGAATTTTGATGTGGTCAGGATCACCTTTTTCCATTATCTGATTCTAGAAAGTTGTGTAGAAATCTCCTGGAAAGCCATTTGAGTTTTGTGGTTTTTAAGGAAGATTTTTAACTACTGATAGAATTTCTTTAACAACTATAGGACTACTCATGCTTTCTATATCTTCGTAAGTTATATTTTTCTAGAAATTTACTTAAGTGTTCAAATTTGTTGAAATAAAGTTGTTTATTTATTATCTTATTTTGGAATTCCAATTAAATGTATGTGGTCATTGTCATTATATTCTCAATGTCTCTTAAGCTTTGTTTCATATTTTTTATGTCTCTTTCTGTCCTGAATTATATATATTTTTATTTCAGATCTACCTTCCAGTCTTTCTTTCTCCACATGTGTCTAATCTACTGTTTAACATTTCTATTGGTATCTTCATTTCAGTGATTATACTGTTCAATTACAGGTGTTCTATTCAGTTGGATTTCATAACTTCTTGTTTTTATAGCTTCTTATTCTTTGCTCATCATTCTATTTCTTCCTTTATTTCTTTACCCATAATTATTTTATATTCTGTATCTGTTATTTGAAGTCTTTATGGCCTAGTATTACTATATGTTGTTTCTGCTGATTCATCCTCATGATGTCTTAATTCTCCTGTTTTTTAATTTTTTTTTGAGCTCATATACATTGGAACTTCCTATGTAAGAAGTTTTTGGAGCCTGAACCTGGGTTGAGTGTGATTTTGTTTGCCTCTACTGGATGGCTGGGATACTATCACCTAGGATAAATTTTAAATTTTTAGATTGCAGGGACTTTTTTTTTTTTTAATGCACAGTTACTGTAAATGTGGACCCAAAACCTGATTACAAATTCTCATGTAAAAAATGTTTTTTTCCCCTTTTTATTTTCATTGCTTTTGAAATTCCCTCTATTCATAGCCTTAGCTAAGATATATTTGTTTTTTTTATTCAGCAGTATTTCCTCTTCCATTCACCCTTTTTCTTAGAATTGCCCTTTCTTATTCCTTTCTTTATGCTGGTCTCCAACAAAACTTCTCCCTTCATAGACCCAAGTCTTTGACTCCCTTTTCCAGTATGCAGTAATCTTTTAATAATGTTCAAGCTCTATCCAGCTGGAGACTTTGGGATAGCCCAGGGTAGCCAACAGCTACAGGATTTGCTCACCTTCCTTCATCTTTTTGGAAGGCATTCAAAAATTTTAAAAAGTAGTTTTGCTATTTTCACGTGGAAGTGTTTCAGGATGTATAGACTCTCAGACTGCTAAATGTAAATGTCTCTCATTCAACATTTAAAAAAAAATAACACTGCATCCAACTTGCCCAATTTCAAGGACAATGACAAAAAAGAAATAAGATGAATGAAAGTAAGTAAAACCATGTGTTCAATATGGTATTTCATTTTTTTGTTTTGTTTTGTTTTGTATTGTGATTTATTTACAAAATTTCACCACATAATAGTAATCACTTTTAAAAAAAAAATCAGTATCAGTCCTAATAAAGGCTATTAGGATAAATTCTTAAGCCTACAAAAATTGCCTTAGTACCAATGTTCCCAGTCATATTATTGTTACCTAAAATCTGACTCCAAAGCCCACATGTAGTTTCTGATTATACACAGTCAATTTGAAGTACAATCTAATTAGACTGACAGGGGACAGTGGAGGACCCAAGCACTTTTATCAACTTCTATAAGAGGTGTATGTTAGCCTACTGGTTACATCCCTCTAGCTGTACCCCACCATTTATTTATAATGGGACTACTGAGTTGCCCCATTATGCTAAAATATGATCACTTTGGAAAAACCAAGGCATTATCTAGACAACCTAGACTCTTCAATGGGGTAAGTAAAAAGTGGCTATCAGTAGTCAAAAATAGTTTCATTTCTTTGAAGTTTTTCCTTTTCTGGACTCCTTGTCTTTTTCTTATTTTGAAGGCTTTGAAGATTTTGTCTTTTTCTTTTTCTTTTTTTTTTTTTTTTAAAGATTTTATTTATTTATTTGACACACAGAGAGAAAGCACAAGTAGGCAGAGAGGCAGGCAGAGAGAGAGGCAGAAGCAGGCTCTCCACCGAGCAGGGAGCCCGATGCGGGACTCGATCCCGGGACTCCAGGATCATGACCTGAGCCGAAGGCAGTCACTTAACCAACTGAGCCACCCAGGCGCCCCGATTTTGTCTTTTTCTTGATCAGTGCATCAGTTTCCATAGACTCTTGGTCTTTCTCATCAGATTGAGAATCATCTTCATTTAACTCTTCACTGTATTCAGAATCCAGTCTCTGGTTTGTCAGGAACTGGGATATAGCTACATGGAACTGAATGCAAGTGACATTCGGAGTAAAAACAGTTTGAAGGAGATTGTTGCTGAATCACTGAATAATACCAGCATCACAGGCTTTTATTCAACTTCTCAACACAGGTCAGGTAGAGCAGCCCATTCAGTAAGCACGAAACATGCTCTAATCATGGATGAAGTAGATGGCATGGTAGGCAATGAGGACAGGGGAGGAATTGAGGAATTAACTGGTTTGATAAAACATAAAAAAATTCCCATTATTTGTATATGCAATGATAGAAATCATCCCAAGATTCACTCTTTGGTTCATTATTGTTTTGATCTTAGTTTTCAAAGACCTCGAGTTGAACAGATTAAGGGTGCTATGATGTCTATTGCACTTAAAGAGGGTTTGAAGAGCCCCGCCTCCAGCTATGAATGAAATAATTTGGGGAGCTAATCAAGATATCAGACAGGTTTTACACAATGTGAGGATGTGGTGTCCACGAAGTAAGGCACTAACCTATGACCAGGCCAAGGCTGATTCTCACAGAATCAAAAAGGATATGAGACTGGGCCCATTTGATGTTGCCCGGAAAGTGTTTGCAGCTGGAGAGGAGACCACTCATATGTCACTTGTGGACAAGTCAGATCTCTTTTTTCATGATTATTCAATAGCACCCCTATTTGTCCAGGAGAACGACATACATGTGAAGCCTGTAACTGCAGGGGGTGACATGAAAAAGCACCTGATGCTTTTAAGCAGAGCAGCAGATGGCCTATGTGATGGTGATCTAGTGGACCATCAGATCCAGAGTAAGCAAAACTGGAGTCTTCTGCCTACACAGGCCATTTATGCCAGTGTTCTTCCTGGAGAGTTAATGAGGGGGTACATGACCCAGTTTCTTACCTTCCCAAGCTGGTTGGGGAAGCACTCATCTATTAGCAAACATTATCATATTGTACAGGACCTAGCACTTCACATGAGTCTCAGAACTGATTCCAGCAAAAGGACTGTAAATGTGGATTATCTGTCACATATAAGGGATGCAGTTGTACAGCCCTTGACCTCATAAGGGGTAGAAGGAGTGCAGGATGTTATTGCTCTTATGGAATCCTACTACTTGATGAAAGAAGACTTTGAGAATATCATGGAAATTAGCAGCTGGGGAGGCAAACCTAGTCCCTTCTCCAAGCTGGATCCCAAGGTGAAAGCAGCCTTCACAAGAACTTATAGTAACACTGGGTGTAATATACAAACAATGAATCATGGAACACTACATCAAAAACTAATGATGTGTTGTATGGTGACTAACATACCATAATAAAAAAATAAATAAAACAAAAAAAACAAAAAACAAAATAAGAACTTACAATAAGGAAGTCTACCTTACTCCATATTTACTTCAAGCAATAAAGACACCCAGACATAGCACAGGCACAGCACTGGCATTTCATTTTTTTAAATTGCTTTAAGAACTTGCAAGGAATAAACATTTAATTTTTAAATCAATTATATTTTTAATAATTAATAGACTTTAAAGAGCAGTTTGGGTTTAAAGAAAAACTGAGCAGAAAGTACAGAGTTCCCATATACCTCACTGTCTTTTCCTCTATTACTAACATCGTGCATTACTGTGGTACATTTGCTACAACTGATGAGCCAGTATTGATATATTGTTGTTAACAAAAGCCAATGGTTAGGATTTACTCTTTGTATTGTATGGTTCTGTGGGTTTTGACAAATGCATAATGTCCGGTATCTACCATTATATTATCCTATAGTATGGTTTCACTGTCCTTTATAAAAATCCCCTGTTCTCCACCTATTCATCCTTCCTCTCCACCCCCCAACATTTGCAAATCGATTACTTTTGTCTCAATAGTTTTATCATTCATTTTACAATGTTTACAGTAATTCAAATTTTTAGCTTCTTGTATTAGCCATTCTACAGTACAAGAACATTTTTTTTTCATTTTTCTTCATTCATATAGTACTTATAATATTTAGAATATTTCTAAATCCATAAAAATGTGAAAGAATAATCTTGAATATGGAAGTGCATGCTCTGCAAGCCTGGCTGGACTACTTTCAAACCTGATCTCTGTTCTTCTCTAAAGCATTGTGGTCTTTGTTTGAGAAGAAAGGAATTCTCGGGTGCCTGGGTGGCTCAGTTGGTTAAGCAACTGCCTTCGGCTCAGGTCATGATCCTGGAGTCCCGGGATGGAGTCCCGCATCGGGCTCCCTGCTCGGCAGGGAGTCTGCTTCTCCCTCTGACCCTCCCCCTCTCATGCTCTCTCTCTCCCTCTCATTCTCTCTCTCAAATAAATAAATAAAATATTTAAAAAAAAAAGGAATTCTCAGAATAAAGTTGATAGAACTAAATGAAAGCCTATCAAGTTGTGAAACAACTAGACCCCCAAACCAAACTAAGTTTCTTTCATTTGGAACAATAGAATAATATAATCTTAATCTTTGGAATGCACTGAGATATCCACCCAATAAACTATAACTGTCCAGAACTTCGCAAGAACTTACAATAACACTGGGTGTTATACACAAACAATGAATCATGGAACACTACATCAAAAACTAATGATGTACTGCTCTAGCATTTGAGGTAAGCCAAAAACAAGATTTCACTTCCCCACTACCTTGAAGCACTTTATTGTTGACTCTATCCATTTAGCTACTATTTTGATAGAAGTCAAAATAGTCATTTATAATTACTCTATGTTTCTAAATAGTTGGCAAAAATTATTCTAAAAAGTATTTTAAAATTAGATAAAAACTGTTTTCAAGCATTGAAATATTCCTCACTTTTTCTGGACCTCATGATGATACCAATAAGAGTCTTTTCCATGGGCCACTTAGAAATGAGGATGACCATACTAAACTCCCCACCTTCTTACATGATTACTATAAAAAGAATGCTAAGCTTTCAAAAATGTATAATGCAAAGTTCTGATTTCTAATGCTTAGAAATGTTCAAAGCTAATAGCACATAGTAACTAGTTCCATTCCAGAAAATAAAAATGCAAGAAATACTCATAATACTCAGAGGCAAAAAGGCAAATATTTCTGCTAATCATATTGTTAAATATTCAGAAGTTTTTTCCTATAACTCTAAACCAGGGCTATAGTGAGAAATTAAAACATATAATAATAAATCAAGCCAGTATGCCATATCTTTCATTCTAAAGGTTCCTAACAATTGAGCATTCAAATATCTAAAGCTATTACTGAGTAGATCAAATCACATGGATTTAGAAAAAGAGAGAAAGTCTCAAATCTGATTTAAGCTCATTGTTTCCCTTGGAAATAAAAAAAAGGCTCATAAAATACCAAATTTAGATGGGATAGTAAAAAGTGGAAGGAAAGAATGGAATGAAGTTAATCTTTGATCTCTATCCAAATTCCTCTTTCTTCTACCTACAGGGTTTATTTCCATTCACATGTTACCCATGTGATTTTAAGCCACAGACTGAAGCAGCTGAACTTTTGAGTTATGCATGCACAAAAGATTCAAGTGAAATAAAGAAATGAATTTCTACAAGGCCTGTGCCCTCTCTTCCACTCAAGGATTTCAAGAATAACTTTTTAGTTTTGTTAACCTGAGTTCTACTGTGTCCATTACTGTTGTACATATATACGAGGTATTTAGAAAGCCAAGTACGGCTATTAATGTCAAAGTATTATTTATCAGGACATGTGAGATAAAAGTTTCAGTGGGGTGTGTGTGTGTGTGTGCGTATGTGTGTGTAACATTATTAATAGACATAATCGCAAGTTGTTTTTATGACTTTTTACTCCTATTTTCACAAAAACTCAACCTGCATGTTATAATAAACTTAACCTGAACAGTTGAAAAATTATAGCGAGACCATAACTAGCAATGTTTTTTTCAAGGGGGTTGGAGTGTCCTGAGTGTGAGGGCTATGGGAAAAAGTGATCAAGTAGAAAAACGCATCTATATAACATGCTGCATCTTGGGCCAAGACATCACCAGATAGGGTGATAGAACTAGGTTCTTAAGGTCTACATATACCTTTAGCTTCTGGATTATTTTGGGAGTTTGGGGGTAGAGCTTAGGGAGGAGCCTGTGGAGTAGCAACATGGGCAGGCTCAGGTTAGTTACTGAAATTGGTATATATTCACTGAAAATCAGACTCGACAGTCTTCCCCACTACCTTACTGCACTGACTACAACAGAATTCTGTAAGAAATATTTTTTCAAAGTGAAATTTGGCACCTTATACTCTTTTGAGGAAATCTTCCAGAATGAAGCCTTAACAAAGTACTAACACTACTATACTACTGCTACAACACTAAAGAATCCTGTATGCAGCCTGGTTGTTTCAAAAAGCATTAAATTAATTTAATCTAATCATCATTAAACTACAAGCATGAGAAGGAAGGTACATTGTAACAAGTCATTTCTTTTCACGACCAAACACAGCTGAAGTGGTAACTACCAACAATGAGATGTCACTGAGAAAGAGAACTGCAAGGGCATTTTCAGTTAGAAATCCTGTTCAGTTCTGTTGATTTACTAGAAGCAAATGTAATTTTTTGTTTCTGAAAAGAATTATAAAGTAAGTTGTAAATATGGTCCTGGTTCAAATTATCAGTTTCTATTTGATTTCCTGATATTCTACGGGGTATTACTTCTGGCTATATGTCATATTGTGTCAGCATTTTTACTAGTTCAGAAAAGTTGTTTGAAATGAAAAGTTGCTCAAAGAAGTCTCAACAATTAAACAATATATTTAAAGTGTATTTAATAACCAACTCATAGGTCAAAAAAGGATTCACCCTTCAAAAGTATGTCTCAAACACTTCTAATGTTTCCCAAATAGTTCTCAGAGTATAGTGGTAGTGAAAGGAAACACTAACTAGCTTTATTTTAATTTCCATTAAAAAAAACTGTTTTCAAAACCAAAATTAACTTAAGTTCATTGTAGAAAATTTGGAAAATAATAGAAAATAATGAATAAATAGTAAATAGAATTAAATAGTATTATATGATATATGTTGTTATATATTATATAAACGTATTGTCTAATATTGAATAAATAAAACAATAAATAGTAGTAAAATAATTATATATGATAATAAATCCACAGTCCAACCAACCAAAGATTAGCCAATTCTACTTTTGTGGTATTTCATGTTTGTTGTTTTATTTTAAAAATAAAACAGTATTATCATATTATAATTTTTTTAACTTACAAATATCTATAGTGGGAAAAATTTTATAAGTCCTCTACAATATTATTTTGAATGTATTAATGTACCAATCAATCCTCTGTTTTTAGATATTTCAGTTGTTACTAGGCTTTCAGTTTTATATATAATTGCAAATAATATCCTCTTGTATGGTTAAAGTGGCCACTTCACATTAGCATATTTGAAGCCAGTGTTATTATATATTATTTTATAATGGAAAGAGGCCTGTTCTTTTTACTGTTAACTTTTCTTTTCTTTTTTTTTAACTTTTCTTTATCAGTGATGAGACAGAACATAAATAGTAAAGCATATAAAGGAAAAATGGGAACAAAGTTCCCAAACTCTATATACTTCATTCTTTTAGAACCTAAATGTATTCAGCAATGCCTGTTGTAGATAACTGAAACATTATTATAAAACCCCAGGGAAATGAGAGATACTCCCAGATAGCCTGTTTCTTTTATGAAATTACAAAAACTACTGAATTGGAATTCTCTAGGGAAGTTAAGACAGAGAGAATTCTGGTGTACACTGAAGAGGAACTCTCTCTAACCTACAATTTAGTTACCATTGTTATTTTGCCATCCTGGAATAGATTAGACTCTAGAATCAGCAACCAACTGCAAGAGAAAGTACCTTGGTCATGATTCATTGGATTAATAAAGAAATAGACACACACACACACACACACACACACACACGGCACAAAGTGACTGATTAGACAAGTCATTTTACTTCTACTATTAATGTCTTAACTTTGCTGATGTCAGTCTCCCATTTACTGCCAGTGTTTCTCCATTATTATTTTTCATCTGCTGAGGAAAGCTTCAAGTAAAAAACAAAACAAAAAAAAGGGATGACAGAGGCAATCCTCACCCCCATATCCACTCAGGAGAGGTAGTGGAGTGAAAATAAGAGTAGTGACAGTCTCTTTGAAATACTGACAACCTACTCTGTTATTGATTTATATCATTTTTGTAACTGATATAGTTAAAAAGCCTCAATAACAATTTATTCATTTTTTAACAGTTTAGTTTAATTTGGGCCTGAAATGTTTGTGAAGACTTCATTGCAAATTCAATATCGTAGGGATCA